AAAGATATATATTTAGACATATCCTACACAATACTGTCTGCAAAATTATGGGCTCAAGTCCCCATTGTATTTTTTTCTAAAACACATGAAAATACATAACTGTGACAGCTAAACTATCCAAACTACATCTAACATCATTGCACATACCACTACTGATATCCCTCCCCACTGGGGAAACACTGCCTGGGCACTCCTCTGATCTCAGAGAAATGTTCCCCAGCTCTGGGCTCTTTTCAGTAGTTTGTAGGACTTGCTGCTTCATATTTGTTGACACAACTTGGTTATTTTAAAATATTGTTTGTTCACTGGGTACAATGCATACTACTCAGGTGATGGGTACACCAAAAGCTCAGAAATCACCACTAAAGAAGTTATCCATGTAACCAAACAGCTGTTCCCCAAAAACCTATTAAAAATAATAAAATTAAATTCAAAATGGTGTTTGCTGTGTGGACCACATTCGTGGGAAAATTCTACCTATCTCAAGAGCCTGATATCCTGACCAGCTGCTCCAGGTCTTACAGTCTAGGCTGGATGTCCCTGGAAGAGACACCACTTCCTAAGAGTGTGTCCTCCCTAAGCTTCCCCCACCCACCTTCTCTCTCCCAAGGCCAGAAAAGCTGCATGAGCTCCCCGGTGGCCCTAGAGTGCAAGGACCACTATGTTCCCTCTTATGATAACCGGTTATCACAGATGAGGATGCACATCCCACTGGATCTAAATGTGGTGGAGTCTGCGACCTCTTGGTCCTTCTTTCTCTGCCACCTGCTCACCCCCTTGCCCTCCATGCACCCCTGTGGCCAGGCACTGTGGGAGGCATTAGGAGTACAAAAGAGACTCAGGCCAGGTCTCTGTCCATCTCACAGCTTAGAGGGAGACAGACAAGAACATGCGATGGTGAGATGCAGTGAGAGAGGAGGCATAGCAGGGTATGCTTAGGGACTCTAAAATGAAAGTCTGGTTTTGCACCCTCCTCCATGCTCCCCTTGTCCTCGCCTTCCCACCAGCTCTGAGCTCTTGCTCCCAGTCCCTTCCCCATCTCTGGCTGTGCCCCAACTCCTCATTGTCCCTTCTCTCCCATGGTCCTGAGCCCTGCCCCTGGAATTACAGGCATTAAAGAGCTCCCTGCTCCTCCTCCCCATCTCCCAAATCCAACTGTGACTCATCCACCATCCAGAGAACATTCCAGTGGCTGTCAGCTTAGTCAGCACTTAATAAAGCATTGTTCAATAAGAAGAAAGAGTTCCAACAAAATTAAAACTAATCTCAGCAGCAGGCTCAAATATTAAATCTTTCTTCCAGAACATAAATCCTGCAAACACTAGTCTGCTCTTTGCACAAATGGTGAATCACAATTATATAATTTATTTGTCTGGAAACCACATTCCTCACTTTGCATTTCTTTTTCTGCCACAATGGATTGAATCCACCATTCCCCGCTTGCCCAGAATCTGTTTTATTGTTGTTTTCGGCAATGGCTTAATCACCAGCTGCACGGGCAGCACTTGGCGCAGGTGCCCTTGAGTGCAGTGTCACCTTCCCCTTGCTGCTCAGAATTCCCTGTGAGAGCTCCAAGTGTCCACAGGCAAGATCATTATTTGAGTCACCTGATAAGATAGAAGAAGAAATGTCATACAGGCTGCCAAACAGGACACATTATTGCCACGTTCTGTGCCCTAAAGGAGGGGCCCAGGGCAATCCCAGCAGATGGTCTATGAGCTCTGACAGCCAGACACTGTCACAAGGGCATCAGATATCTTGAGTGAGCTGAATCCTCAGCATGAACAAGAAAGTGACAGCCACCCTCTTTGCCCAAAGTAAAAGAACGAGCTAGCACTCCTCAGGGCCTGAAGTGGGCTTGAACTTGTCCGGGGATAATGAAAGCTTCCAGCAGCTGCCCAAGATGTGGCCATAACCCCACTCAGAAAGCAGCAAGGGGTAGGGGAAATGGCGACAGGCCAGATGAACTTACTGAAGGGCCCATGCACGTGCACGCTCCCAAAGCTGCTTCCAGTCCACAGCAGATGGCAGAGAGGCCGGATGTCCAAAAATACAATGGCCTTTGTCCCCCGTTTAGTAACTGTCCTGTCCATCCCCCCCAAGAGCTGGACCATCAGGGGCTCCCCTCCACTGACTCTCCTCTGTACCTTGAAGAGGGCCCCAGTTGAGGGCCCCTCCAAGAAAGAAGGTCAGAGACCTGGTGAAGAGAAAGAGGAAACACAGGGGCTACGGAGGGCTTCAGGACAAACTGTGAATGTCCCCAGATGACATGCTTTCTAACCAGCCAGGCCCTGGGCCAGGCCCGGTTGCCTTTCTATGGTTTCCCATATGTCTTGTCATCCCCTGTGTCATACACCCAAGCTGGGTCTCTCTTTCCTCTCCTATCCCCGTGGGTCTCCATCGCTTGGCAGCCGTTTGGGTTGCTGCAGCTTTCTGGGTCTTCTCAACCCTCCATATTCCCCCTGAGTGAGCTGGGTGAGCTCAGAATGTTAGCTGACTCTGGCCTCCCTCCTGCCCTTCCTAAACAGCTGCCCTCCTTTGGCATAGATGGCGTGGTGTTTAAATGAGTAAGGCTGTCAGGCTCTCTCACTGAAGCTATTTCACCTATTGCTCTGAGGCCTCAAGACCTAGTTCTGCTGGAGGCCACCCTGACCCACCAGCCGGGACCAGGACACATTCCCTGTGTCAGAAGGCCCCGCCCCTCTTTTCATTTTGCAGTGGAGGAACACCCACAGTTCACAGCTATTTGCCAAGCAGAGATGACTGACACCATCTGTGTCCAATGAGGAATCCAGCTTGCTGAGCCCACGTCGCCGTTTTCTTGCAGGAGCTGGAAAAAGTGCAGGTTTCTTCCTGTGGGGTCTAGGAATCCCGGAGATCAAACAGGGGCGCCTTCCCGCATCCAGGCCCCCAAGGAGGAGCAGGGCTCTGGGAAGGAACCAGGGTTCTCACGTGCAAAGCCTCGCAACCAAACTTGGCTGAGTGGCCCCCGCCATCTGTGTTTGGAATGTCCCTTCTAGGTTTTGCGTTTGACCTTGACTTTGTTCCTTGGCACAGTTCTTTTGAAATTCCACCCAGCCTTGGCCAATCTAAAGGAAAAGGAATCTTGTCCTCACATACACCAGGGGAGAGGCTAGATGTAGTTAGAAGCCACCATGGCACCCGAGACCTAGGGAGGCAGGGTGGACTGGAATAAACTCTTACACCCGGACGACAATCCAGGGCAGCTGGAGGGCTCCTCTTCCTCAGGAACACAACAAACAGCCTCGCGGTGGCCTGTCCCTTCTCTCCTGACCAGCTTTGGGGCACCAGCGGTTGGCCTGAACACCTGGGAGTGTATGGTAACCGCACCTGAGCGCAGGCACTTAAGCACAGCCTGAGAATGGCCCTGCGTGGCAGACACACCTGAATGTGTGTTCCAAACTAGGGAATCTGGGAGTGGCCGACCTGGATATTCGTTGTCTATGAGAAACATCTGAGCCCCGGACAGTGAAACACGGGCGTACAGGGTATCAAAACCCAAGTCTGGGTTGAATGAAGATCCCCAGGCGGAGGTTATTAAGGGAAGGCGCTAAGCGGAAATACTATAGAAACTGCTTTTTGCAATCGGTTGTGGTTTCTCCTGCCCCACTCACTATGACTGGACTCTCTCCCCTGCATGTAAGTCCAAATAAAATCCCATGTCTCATTTGCTGGTCTCCGTCTCCTCTTCTGCCTCTTGGTGCCTTCCCCACTGGAGTTGTAGGGGTTCAGCACATTGGGGAGCAAAATGGGAAAAAGAGAAGAAAGGAGAAGCACCAGCTCGGGAGGAAACTGATAACGCGAGGCTGGGGGATCCCTGGCCCTGGATTCTCTGAGCTGCCCAGGGCTGTGGAACACGGAACCTGCCTGGCCTGGCTGGTCTCCCTCGGAGGAACTGGATGCGCTTGAATGGGCTCTTTGAGCACCGCGGATCCACCAGGTGGCAGTACTGCTATTCCTCTGTCGGGACAGAGCCTGCAGCATGCGAGAGCGGCCACCGGAGGGCAACGGGGGACAATGTGCTCCTTCACTCTGGGGGTTGCCTAGCAACTATGACGCAATGGGCTCCCGCTCCCCTCAAGTCTCCCAGGTTATTTCTGGTAAAACGGAGACTGTTGCACAAGGAGTGGCCTCAGGAATCCCAGAACTGCCTCTCTAAGCCAGCAGAATCTAAAATGGTCCAGGGACCCCAAATCCAGCACCACCCTGGCGTCTAGAGGATTGGGCTGCTATCTCTGCTCCACCGAAGGCCAGACATCAAGAAGAGAGGCCTGGCACGGTGGCTCTGGCCTTTAATCCCAGCATCTGCCTTGGGAGGCCAAGGCAGGTGGATCACTTGAGGTCAGGAGTTTGAGACCAGCCTGGCCAACATGGTGAAACCCCGCCTCCACTAAAAATACAAAAAAAAAAATAGCTGGGTGTGGTGGCTCATGCCTGTAAGTCCCAGCTACTTGGGAGGCTGAGGCAAGAGAATCGCTTGAACCCGAGAGGCAGAGATTGCAGTAAGCCAAGATCACACCACTGCACTCCAGCACTCCAGCCTGGCAACAGAGTGAGACTCTGTCTCAAAAAAAAAAAAAAAAGAGAGACATTTTCCATTCCCTCTGTGGCCACACAGCCCCTGGAGATGCTCTGATTTCCCCAGTGGCTACACTGAAGCAACTTCCTCCCCTCCCCTCCCCTCCCCAGTTCTCCCCCCTTGCTAAGCAGGGGCTGGATTCATAGTCATGTGACCTTGAGCAGACCTTGAGTGCCCCCTGCCACCGCCCGCTCCTCAGCTGCACTTGAGAGGCCTGGGAGGTGTTGATAAGGCCCAGCTCTGGCCTTCTGTGGTCTTGATTCTCTCTTGTTCTCCCAAGGACTCTGTCCTTGGCTCAAACCTCTCCCTGGTTTTGATGACCCTGAAAATAGAATTCTCCAATTCCAAATGGATAAGTATGTCCTGAGAAACCAAAATGGAACCAACAAAGTGAGGCAGACACGAGACAAGGAGTGTGGTTATAATGAGCTCAAAGCCTGTGCCGGTCTGGTCTGTGAAAGGTGAGGCGTATCAACGCCCCAGGCAGAAGTCACGGGGGCCACTCTGTGGTTCCAGGCACATCTCTGGGTCCTGAGGAGCCCCCTGGCCCAGGCTGGGCCCTGCCTGGGGCCCAGGTGTTCATCCCTAAGGTCTTGGGGTCTCTGAGGGGCACTGTCTTCAAGGGTCACACTGGCATGTGCAGCTCATTGTACTCATCCTGGCCGTCCTCATCAAAGTTTGGTTCAGCATCTTCTGAGTCCAGCTGCAGAGGGAACAGAAGGTTGGGGAAGGCAGGGAAGCATCCTCATCCCCTCCCATTCTACACCTCCTCCTCCAACCTGCAGCCCTCCCTGCTCCCCAACGTTTCCTGGGCCTGTCTGCAAGTACCATGACCCCAGGTGGCAGCATGCCCTTGGCCAAAGCCTTCAGGTCACCTCCCAGACCAGACACCTGGCCCCTCCTGTTGATAATTATTATTATTATTATTATTATGAATCTCTTTCCTGAGGCCACTTCTAGTAGCTGTGGTACCTTTGTACACCATGTTTGAGTAGGATACATTGCAAAAGGATTTTTCTTTTTTTTTTTTTTGGCAAGAGGATTTTTTTATGGCCAGGCACAATGGCTCACTCCTGTAATCCCAGCAATTTGGGAGGCCAAGGTGGGAGGATTGCCTGAGGTCATGAGTTCAGGACCAGTCTGGCCAACATGATGAAACCTCGTCTCTATTAAAAACACAAAAAAATTAGCCGGGCATGGTGGCATGTGCCTGTAATCCTAGCTACTCAGGAGGATTTCCCTCCTGAGGCAGGGCAATTGCTTGAACCAGGGAGATGGAGGTTGCAGTGAACTGAGATTGTGCCACTGCACTCCAGCCTGGGTGACAGAGCGAGACTCCGTCGCAAAAAAAAAAAAAAAAAAGTCTTTTCCTCTAGACAAAAACAGGGCTCAGGGTGGACACAGGACATCAGCCCTGTGGCCTCAGCTGTGTGTTTTTGGTCAGGTACCACCTGCACAGCTCTGTGCCTGCTCCTGTATAAAACCACCATCCTCAGCCCTTTATCTGGACTAGCACTTGACCCTCGCAACAGTCCTACAAGGTAGGATCTATGATTACCCCTATCATACAGGTGAAAATAAGATTTCGGAAGGTGAGATAATTTGCAACAGAAGTTACACAACTAACACCCACAACTAGTGGGAGGCCAAACAGAGATTGCCACCCAGTGCCCATTTGCCCTAATACTGCCACCCCAGGCCACCCACTTACCGCCTGCAGCTCCCTGTCCTGGAAGAGCCGGGGCAGAAGGCAATGCCTCAGAGGCACCGTGAGCAGCAGCAGGAAGGGAAAGGCAAGTGAGGCCGCCGTGGACTTGACCACCCAGAGCAGCGCGATGCAGCCCAGCTGGATACAGGTGAACAGGTGCATCCGCCATGTCTTCACCTGGGGGAGCAGCCAGTGGGCCTCAGCGCACAGCACCCCGGCCTGCTCCCACCCACATCATGCGGAACTTGGTTCCCAGGTCCCAACTTCTCCTTCATATTCATCCCATCCATTGATGCCCCCAGGCCCCTCTGGATCCCCTTCCTGTCACCCCACTGCCCAACCCCATGCTTCTTGGCCCTACCTTGGTCACATAGGGCTGCTCCGGATGGTGCTTTGCCGGCATGAGAATGAGCAACAGACGCTGGGACAGCTGGATGCCAGACAGGGATGTGACCCCCATGTACAGGAAGATCCCAAAGAGCACAGCCAACGGGATCCGACGCAGCACAGCCCCCATGACGATGGACAAGCCTGGAGGAGGTGACACAGACCTGCTGACCCTCGGATAGCCCCTGGGAGGATGGACAGGCCTGGAGGAGGTGACACAGACCCTCCTGACCCTTAGACAGCCCCCTGGGGATGGACAGGCCTGGTGGGTGGGTGACATGGACCCACTAGACCAATCAGTTTGGCCTCAGCACCTTGAACAAGAGAAGAGCGGGCAGGACAGAACCAGGAAAGGGCTCGGGGAGGAAGGGGCTGGGGGAGTGTTGGGAAGCAGGTTTGAGGGTCAGATCGAGGGCAACACATGACACACTGGGAGATTCAGGGTCAATCCTGGGATAGAGAAGATATAAGACCATGGGGCCCCAGGAGGGGGGTGTGCAGGGTGGAGGTGGGCTCTCACCCACAAGGCTGGCGATGAGCACACCAGTGACCCGCTGTTCCCGCACCTCCTGGATCTGGGGCTTGTCACCAGGCGCGATGGCAGTGCGCATCACTGTCAGTGCATTGACATGGGTGACGGAGCGGACTGTGGCCGCCGTGAGCCACGGCAACCCAAACAGCCCACAGAGCCCCCCCAGGGAGCCAATGAGGAGCAGGTCCAGGTGGAAACCGGAGCCCTTAAGCAGCCTCCTCGCCTTCTGGCTGACGATGAGCCTACAGAGAGGGTGGGGGGAGTTGGGTGTGGCTGGCCCCACAGGAGCAGGGGACAGAAACAGGCAGGCACACAGAGACCAGAGGGTGGGGAGAGGACGTGCAAACAACAGTTCTCCCAGGACTGCCAACTTCCTCTTTCAAGTTCCCAAATTGAAGTTCTCACATTGAAGCAAATGTGAGCCAAATTCTCATACTGTGAATATTTAAAACACCACAAAAGCCAGATGCCAGATCTTACCACGTTACTGTGGTTTAACCAAAATTAGATAGATGAGAGCATCCCTGGGTGCAAGCTTAGACTGCTAGAGTGTTCTGAAGACTGTCAAGTGCCACCCTGCAAACAGTGGTGGCGACAGGCAGATGTCATGTCAAACCATCACAGGGAGGCCATGCCCCTGCCCCGGATGCCACTGCTCTCTGCTCCTCCCCCACCTCCTCCTCACCCCTGCCAGCTCCTCGACACACACTCTCTTCCTCAAGGCTTACCATCAGTTCCTACCCACCCAGCCCCCCGATACTGATAATGATGTCTCTGCTATAACCCTGAAACCAAGCCAAAGAGGCAAGAACCTGGCCTCGTCCCTCCCACCTCCTCCTCCCAGCCCTCTTACGCCGTGATCTGTGTCTCCATGAAGATCAGGATGAGGACAAGGAGGGCAGGGACAGCGGCTGCCACCATCATCCAGGGCGGGAAAGGACGGGCACTGCCCAGGGGTGGGATGAACCATGAGCGCTTATCGGGAGAGGTCACTGAGAGCCCTGTGGGCACTGTCAGCTTCTGCATGGCAGGAAAACAGGGTTCAGGGACACAGCTTCCCCATGCTAGGAAGCCCATGAAGCAGAGAGCCCTGTGGGCACTGTCAGCTTCTGCGTGGCAGGAAAACAGGGTTCAGGAACACAGCCTCCCCATGCTAGGAAGCCCATGAAGCAGTTGCTACCACCAACCTGCATCTCCAATACCAGGACTTCGGGGAGTTGGGGTGTGAACAGGTTAGTGGGAAATTAGCTTTGCATCCTCTAATAGTCACTGTCCTTCCAAGGATCCAGTAGAGGGCAGGGAAATGGAGCGCCTCCTCCCTGAGCCCCAGAGCTTCCTGGGACCTGTGTGGGGTACCTGTCATTCTGCTCCCAGCCCCACACCTGCTTCTGCTGGATTCTTCACTCAGGAAGGCGGGAAGGCCAGAAGCCGGAAGCCCCAGCCCCACCACCCAGGGTAGCTACTCCACTAGGAGAGCTGGATTCAGGCCCGATCCCGACCCCAGGACCCAAGGAGGCTCCCTCTCCTAGCCTTGGGGTAAGAGCAGCTGCCACAGGCTCAGGCTCCCTCACCTGCGTGTAGGTATCTGTGATGGAGTAATCCACCAGGACCATCACCAGGATGGAGATGGGGATGCCAAAGTCCCCGATGATGCGGCGAGCCTGGAGAGGGGCCAGTTGGGGAAGGGGCAGAAGGTGGAGGCAAGGTCAGCAGACTAACATGGGACTTGCCATCCCTGGCCTTGCCTGGGTCCAAGCTGGAGCCAGAAGGCCCCCCACCTGCCTCTCAACCCCACAGGTGCCAGCACAGCCTGGGAGGTTGTTGTCTTGATTAGACTTCTCTGAGCAAAGGGCAAGAAGACACCCAGAGAAGAGGCTTCTGATGGGGCGAGGGGCTGCCCAGGCTGGGTTCTGGTCCAAGGGCTGACTGGGGAAGGAGTGCAAACTCTCTGGGGAGCTGAGCCTGGCAGTGACAGCGGGAACTGGGGGACTCTTGGGGGCTCCACACCCAGCAGCCTCGCACCTTGCCCCCCAGGAAGCGGCTGTTCCTGAACTTTCGCAGGAAGAAGGCGATGAAGAAGGTCCCGAGCATGAGGATGAGTGACAGCAGTGCCGTATTGGGCTGGTTCCTCGGGCCACGGGGGCCCTCGGTGGGGGGCAGGGCACTGCCATTTGGCTCCAGACCAGCCTCCAGGGACCCCTCCAGGGCCCCTTCAGGGGGGTAGAATGGTAGCAGCGGGTGCTCTGTGAATACCTGTGTGTGGATAACAAGGATGCCTTGTCACTTACCTGGCAGGTGACCTGATTTCATCGTCATCAGCACACCTGAGAGAGAGAGGGTGACCCCCTCAACAGCAGTAACGTACAGACATCCAGCTGCACCACACACACATATACACACATACACACGCACGAAACACACACAACACACATATACAACATACAACACACAAAAAACAACACACCACATACAACACACATACAGCATGCACACACACATATGCACATACCACACACCACACACACAACATAAGACACATGCAGACACACACACCACACCATACTCACACACCACACAAACACACACTCCTCTACAAAAGGTGACCCAGGGACACCCAGCCCCTTAGCACTGGCAGCACCCTCCCCATCACATATCTGTGCAGGTGAGTCCTTATTACTAAGCCTCCAACCACGTGCCTGGAGCTATGCCCTGGCATCTACCCTCCGGGTCTGACTCCCTCCCTTTCAGCTCAGACCTAGCCTAGGGTGTCCCTAGAACCCCTCACTACCAACACGGTCCCTCTCCTTGTCCCCCAGTTCTCCATACCTCCCCCTCCCATGCTGTCCTCCCCAGGGCAATGTCCACCCCCATCTCTGCCACCCCCAAGACCTCTCTGGACCTCCACCTTGTACAGCTTGTAGAAGGTCTCATAGATGAAAATGAGTGAGATGAGGAAGGCGAAGATCTCCTGGGTGAAAGGCGAGATGTAACGGACCAGAAAGCTGCCTTCGGCGGCCACCAGCACAAGGACGAAGACCACCAGCCAGAGACCAACCCACACCCGGCCAGTGAGGTACTCCAGGTCCTGGGCTCGGCAGAACTGGGGGGGTTGGGAGTGGTGGTTACCCACAGGTGTCCTGCTCTGGGCGTCAGTGCCCCTGGAATGAGCAGCGGGTGAACTCCAAGGAAGAGGAGGGAGAATGCAGGGACCCATCTCCTAGGTAAGGAAGAGTGTGGGGCAGGATGCATGCAGCGAGCAAGGCTCCCCCTCACCTTGAAGAAGGCTTCCTCAAACACGAGCAGCGGCCCAGAGAAGCCAACCACAAGCAGTGGCTGAGCCCCCAGCAGAGAGAAGAGGACGCCGAGCACAGCGGTGGACACAATCAGCTCGGACACGCCCATCAGCCCCTCGGTCTTCTCTCCTGCGGAGGTAACGCCAGCAGGATGGCCCTAGCCTGGCTCTGTCTATCTGCCCCCTTCCTTGTCTAGCTTGTCCTAAACTGGGGCTCCCAACAAAAGCAGAGCAGCCCCTTAGAGTGACAGACAGGGCCCTTCCATACCCCATTGCTCCCAGACCCTCCCCACTAGCCCCCAGTGGTGATCACAGGACTCCCGCCCCTTACACCTCTCACACACTCTCGCTTTGTAGCCCCCAAAGGTGATCCCTGGGGTTCCCTGACCCAGCATGTCTCTAAGGTGCTTACACCTTTGCTAGCACATCTAACTATGGGCCCCTAACATGATCACACCCAGACCCAGAAACCTACAAATGACACCGGGACCAAGAGGGACTGCAGGAGCCCCTCAATTCCCCAAGCCCCTGCCCCTTACCTAGCAGCCCTCCGAAGGTGATGGCAGGGCTGAGGGCTGCAAAGTAGATGAAAAGCACGGCGGCCACACACTGGGAGTGCAGGGCGTCTCGCAGGTCACTGGGGTAGTGCGGGTACCGGCGCCTCACATCCCGCACGAGCCCCCCAAATATCGAGCCCGTCCGCAGCAAGGGGTCATCTTCAGGGGTCGCCTCGGGGCCCCCCAACTCCAAAGACAGTTCTAAGGGAACAAGGGGCTGCTGGGGCCTCTTGCACTCCCTCTGGCTTGGAGGCCCCAAGCTGTTGAGATCAGGGATGCAAAGGACTCCAAAAGTCAGGAGGACAGGGCTGGGGTCACAGCCTTAGGGCCCTGGGATGAGGGAGTGTGTGTCAGGGACACTCAGCCCCCAAGGGTCTGACCTTTCCCAGGGGCCGTGTAGCCGCCCCGTGTGGTCATTTCGACTTTGGTCTGTTCACGCTCCCGCCGCTTCCTAAGCAGTTCTCGCTGGAAGGCAGCCACGGAGCGCAGCAGGTCTCGGCCCTCCACCTCGGATGGGGGGATCACGATGCTGCCGTCCAGGAACTCACTGATGGCGCTCAGGAGGTCCTGCCGGTCGTCCGCCTGGTAGGCAGCCTCATGAAACAGCTGGGGGCAATGAGAGGGCCAGGACTCTCAGGGACAGCCAAGGGAACCTCCAGGAGTGAGACATGGGCGGGAGGGATGTTGTGTCACTGAGCTATGGACACGGGGGACATTCAGCCACAGATACTGGGCCAGTCCAACAGCGTCGGCTATTGGAACACTGACACCCAACCCTGCAGGCCAGCAAGCCACCGCCCTGAAGCCCCAGGTGCCCTCATTCCCCCAGGAGACACCAGCCTTCCACATGTAGCAGCTATAACGGTGGCACCTGGCAGAGCAGGGGCTTCCAGAGCCATTCCAATTGGATCGGCCACACCTTACAGGCTGATAATATTGTGAACCCCCTGGCTAAAGGACCCTCCTATCCAATCCCAGGAGAAGCCACAGCAAAGACGAGCGCATCCAGCCCTTCTGTTCAAGTCTCATGTCACATCCAAAGCTCTGGAGTCTGGGCTTTTCCCCTTATGTCACCACCCCCTCCCGTAGCCACAGCTCAGGGATCTCACTTCCCCCTGGGCCAACAGTTCCCCCACCACACTCCAGGGCACAGCTTCCACCCAGGGCCCTCTAGCACCCTTGCCTCTATAGGCACCACTGTGGACAATGAGAGGGACAGAGGGACGGGGGCAAGCAGGGCCTAGGAGAAGAGGCCTAGAGAGCTGGCCTGTGCCCAACCTTGTCAGACATAAGAGTGGCAATGGAGCGCCCAAGCTCGTGATAGTCGGTGCTGGTGTGGCTGGGCCCCAGCATCACGAAGAGGAAGCGGACTGGGACAGGGACCTCAAGCACAGACTCTAGAAGCACAGCCTCATTCAGCCGCACGAAGGCTGCCGCCGGCTGCTCCAAGAAAGGCACACAACCTAGGGGAAGAGGAAAGCACAGGGCGCTGGGCAAAGGGCAGCAGTCAAGGCAGGCCCTGGAGTGGATATCTAGGACTATCATGTACAGTTGAGCAGGTTGTATACTGCACAAAGAAACCCCAGTCTAAAGGGGCGCTATTCACTTATGTGTCTATATGTACACTGATGACAATTCACCAGCAGATGGAAACGCCGGGAATTAAAGAAGGGCTGCTCTTGTTTCTAATTCTCAGTGGTGCTATATGGACTTGCAAGAGTCCAAGATAACAGAAAACTGGACAGGAAGCAGGCAGGGGACTAGGAAAGAAAGGGGTGGGCTAAGACCAGCTGTGAGGAAGAGCAGGGGCCAGGTGGAAGCTGGAGGGAGATGGAGGAGGCAGTCTCCAGGCCAGAACTCAGAAAAACAGGCCCCCAGGAGAGGCACACATACGCTGCAGACCCTACCCCCAGCACCCAGCCCTCCTCACCCACAAGCACAACGGTGGCCTCAGCATCTTCAGGGATCTTCTCCAGCAGCTTCAGGCTTTTCCCCCGGTGACTATCTCCCCCAGGCATGTGGAGGGGCTTCTGAGGACGCAGAACTGGAATAGGGCTGGGACCCAGACCGGAGGCCGTGGCAGGCCCTCCCAGCCCTGGCTCCAGTCCTGGGTCTGAGACCTGCTTCTCCCTCCCAGAGTGGGCAGGTACGGCACTGTGGCCCCACACTGGGAGCCACCTTCTGGGGTGTGGACCCTGACTCAATGCCCCCCACTACCACCTCAGCCTTCTCTTGTTGCAACAGCTTCTGTGGGTCTGCCACATTATCACATTCAAACCTCCAGTGTCTCAGGGCAGGGACCCCTCCTGCGGGTCTCCTCTAGGATCCCCAGCACCCAGCATGGTGCCAGCAATCCAACCTTCCCAACCCGCTCAGTGAAGTCATTGATGACCTCGATGGAAACTGGACACCCTCTCAGCCCGGGCCCAAGCCAGAGCAAGGGCACTGACCTCCTTGGCATCAGGGTCATGTGGCCAGAGCGGGGCTGGCTCCCCCAGGTCATCAGCCATGGTAGGCACCGCCCCATCAGGGCCATGGCTGGGAGTTGGGTGATGATTCCCCAGGACCGAGTTCATGCTGGAGCTCGATGGGTTTCGGGGAAAGAAGCCACTGTCCTTGTCATCGTTGGGATGGCTGGAAGGGGCAGGGTGAGGCAGGTTAGGAGAGGAGAGGCTCATGGCAGACTGAGGTCACGAGGTGAGCAGAGGAGGATCAGGGCCTCCGTCCCTCCGCCTCAGTGTAAGAAGAAACTTTCTAAAGATTAGAAGTGTCAAAAGATAGAAATGAGCTCTGTCACTTATTCAAGTAGAGGCTGAGAGCCACTCGAAAGAGGCTGTGCTCCTGGAAGAGCAGCTGAGCCAGCCAGGCCCCTCCCAGGTGCCCACCCCGGCACCTGTGTTTCAGCAGCAGGGTACGCAGGACGCTGGCCCTGTCCTCTGGTCGGATCTGGTCAGACACAATCATGGTCTCCACCACGAGGTGCGCAATGCCCGGCAGGGTGGTTTGCTCCAGGTCCAGGAGAGCAGCTCCTAGGGGACAGTCCAGGGAGATGGCACAATCCCATCAGACAAAAAAAATCTCCCCCCACTCTGCCTGACCCCCAAGAGCAGGCTAATGTGCTATAAGAGCAAAGTGTCCAGTGTACCCACGTGGATACACAGCTCCATATTGCCACAAGCCAGCCAGAGAGGGGCTGTGAAGACAGCACAGGAACGAGGGCACGGCCCCTCCTCATAAAGGAAGGGGAAGCCGTGTGTTGACTGACTGCATGCACTGCCCCTCAGGGCTCACGGGCTGCCCAGACAACTGGACCTCAAGGTCCCAGGTGGCAGCTGGATCTTGCCTGGGCCCAGGACTCCAGGGAGCATCCCTGGGAGCTGAGCAGCCTTGCACAGATTGAACTCTGCAGCCATGAAGAGGGCTTGCAGCCCCAGGCCAGGCCTGGGGGTCCCTACCATGGGCGATGGTCCTCCTGAGCTCCAGCAGGCTGCGGAAGGAGAGCGAGGCAACATGGGGCTTCCCCCAGCGCTCCGTCTCCTCCTCCACGTCCTCCTCAAACTTGATCCAGCGGGCTGTCTCCCGCCAGTGGGGCTCCTGGCTGCGGTCCAGCATCAACTCGTTCAGCTCCACGAACACCTGGGGGGCATGGCAAGGGTGAGTCCCGGGGTCCGCCAGGTGTGGGGAACACGGCAACGGGGCAAGGCAGGAAGGTAAAGAGAGGAGGGCTCTGGGGCTGAGGGGCATGAGGAAGCCACAGGCCCACCCACTCAGCATTCTGACCTCATGAGGTCTCCGGTCCAGCTTCTTCTTCTTCTTCTTCCTGCGAAGGATGGGGGCCAGGCCACTGGGGCTGCCCCTCCCACCCTGTGTCCGGGACGGCTTCTTCACTAAGTGTCGCCGCACACCAGGATTGTCCTCCAGTCGGTGACCTGCAGAGAAGATGGGCTTGGGGGTCCCATAGGGGCAGCTGGGGGCCTCGGGGTCACGGCCCAGCTCCTTCTACCCAACCCATCTACTTGGTGAGCTCTATAGTCATCAAGGAGCCATGCCAACAGGAGCCACATAATCCCATGTGGCCATTTCACTGATAAGAAGACTGAAGTTCAGAAAGCAGGAAGGACAGACAACTTGGTCTGTCCATGGTCACCCAGGACCACCAGCCAAGGTGCAACCCAAAGGCAGACTCAGATCATCCACAGCCCCAGCCAGACCCTCCAGCCCCTGCTGTGGCGGCTGTACCTCGCTCTCTGTCTGTGGTCCCATGACTGGCATTGAGCCAGAGTCCCCAGGCACTGAGCCCCCAACACTTTCCGTGAGCCCTCATCCCCTCTCTGAAGGTACACGGCCCATCGGACTCAGGCAGGGCTTCGCTCCCTTCTTCCCACCTGCCCCGCCCAGGCCAGCAGCAGTCAGGGAAAGGCCAGCAGCCCCCTTACTCACAAGTTAGTGGTCCTGCCAAGGGGCCCAGCTGGCTCCTGATGGACTCCCACAGGCCACCATCCTCAAAGTCCAGCACAAACATCTCTAAGTCTTCTGAAGCCAGTGAGTCTCGAGGGCTGGGTATTGGATCCCTCCCAGGGCCCTGGCCTCCGGTGTCCCCAGACCCAGGGCTTAGTGCCCCATGGGGCTCAGGGTCCTCCTCCAGTGGGCTCGTCATTCTCCCCGTGGCCAAGACCTTGGCCTCCGCTCCCTACCAAACCCCTCGTCTCTCCTAGAAGGTGGGAGCCTGGACAAGGTAGTCTCTGTCCAACCAGAGCCAAAGGTGGCACAGCCTCTCGACCCCAACTCCGCACATCCACAAGCCTGCTCCCTGAAGTGTCCAGCCCCGACCCTGGGTCTGTAAACACGCCCTCCCCCCACCCCCATCCCGCTGCTACGGCTGCCATCGGATTGTTCCTGTCCCTGTCCTCAGGCCCTGGCAACTTTCCATGACGTATTGAGCTCAAAGCCCTACCCTTCCCCCCTACCCCGCCCACATACTGTGGCTCCGAGGAGGAGGAGGGATCAGTGATGCCCCTGGCCTGGGCACAGAGCCCCATGGGTGATGACAGGTGGCACAGAAACCAGGGCACTGATAAGATGGAAGGAATGTGCCGAGATCACAGCCAGGCCCAGCCAAGGGTGGTGGGATGGGAGTGAGGGGTCCTGACAGGGAGAGGCAGGGGTCCGGAGCAGTGGCACAGACTCAGGGTCTGGTTTGGAGGCGATCAAAGAGCTAGGAGACAAAGGGTTCACCCTGAGAAGATGGGCCTTGGGGAGGAATACAAGGCTGTGGAAAAGAGAGCTGCCATTTTCTAGGGGTGACTCAGAGGACAGAATCAGGACTGAGGCTTGAAGTGTCAGGAAAGGAAATCTCAGCTCTGGCAATCAGAGAGGGTGGCTGGGTGAGGTAGTGAGCTCCCCATCACTGGCCACATCCCAGCAGACAGGGATTCAGAGAGGACTCAACCCTGAGTGGGGGACAGCTCACAGCCAGTCCAAGGTCACTCGCAGGCTGAGAGTCAGTCGCAGTGAACAGTGGGGGCTGCCACGAGGTCTCACTCACTCTTCATATCATCCAGGTCTGCAGAACCCAGCATCTGGGCCTCCGCCTCATCTGTGGGCACCTGCTGCTCTGGACCACCTGGGTTGCCCAGGGCACTGCCTGGGCACAGTCGCTCCCGAAGATCATAACTGGCCGATGGGCTCCAGGGCCGGCTCTTCTCCCCAGCGAGTCGGGAGGCCCTGGCCCGGGGGCTGGGGGAGCTGGGGAGGCAACACAGTAGCCTTGAACTTGACAGGGCCAGGTCGGTGGTTCCATCACTGTCCCCCAGCTCAGAGCAGGGCCTGGAGTGGACCCTGAGCACAAGACCCAGGCCCCTCCTGGGCAGAAAAGAACGCTGACTCAGGCCCTCTCTTCCCATCCCGAGGCTCCCCACTTCCTCCACCCTTCTCCTCACCCTTTCCACTCTGTCACTCTCTCCCGAGCAACTCCTAACCTCTTCACTCTGCTCATCTCCATTTTTCTCCCTACTTGTTCTCTCCTCCCCGTAAATCATGAGGACAGAGAAGAGATTCCCACCCCCCTCCTACCACCCTGCTCCCCTTCTCTCTGGGACAGAGTTGAGGACACTTCTCTGGATCAGGAAGGTGACTGCCAGGGTTCTGGACCCTGCAGCTCTGGGCAGGGCCCTGCTGTGTGGGGGCTGTGGCCAGTACCTGCCAGAGTGCTGGGGGCTCCTGTCAATGTGTGGGCCCACCGAGGGCAGGGGCTTGGTGATAGCAGCCCTCCCGGGGAGGCCTGGACTGTCATCCTCATCACTTCCAATGGAGAACTGCAGACACAGAATGTGCCCTGGGGCCCTGCCCCAACCTACCATGCAGCCCCAACCCCATCCAGCCTCCAGTCTCACACAGGCTCCCATCATGTGCTCCTCCCCTCCTCCCTGCACCCCTCCCTGACCCATGACCTGCCACCCCTCCAAGGGAAGCACCTACCTTCGCCTTCGGTGGGGACCCTGAGGGTGGGGGCTCTCCAGGTTCTGCCTCAGATTCTCCTTCCTCTTCCTCCTCTTCCTCTTCCTCCTCATCCACTCCAGCTCCCCCCTCCTCCTGGATGGGAGGGGTCTCCTCCGAGGGGGGAGCAGAGGTCTTCTCCTTCTTCCTCTTTCTCCTGTTGTGCCGGGCAGAGGTGGGGGGCAGCCGCCGCAGCTTGTGGGGTGGAGGCAGGCGCGCTGAGAGCGGGTGGTGGGTGTGGTGGGATGTGTGCCGGTGAACTGGGGGTGCAGGAGATCCGGTTGAGACCCCCACAGCAGAAAGGGGGGCCCTCCCCACCCAAGGGACACACACCTTCCAGCTCAAGGCTGCAAACAAGGGTACCCTAGTCCTTCCTCCAGCACCATGACCCCCCAACACCTGTGTCCACGTGCCTGTCACTGATGAGGTCCGGTGGAGTGGGAGGAGGGGACAGATGGAAAGGGAAGGTCATGAAGGGGACTGGGTAGGGGGAGATGATACAGCAAGGAGGGGAAAACTCGGAGTGAAAGGAGCCAAGGGGAGACAAGGAGGGAGTGACTGGGCCCGAAGGGGAAGTGGAAGGTCACCGTGGAAGGGCCCAGGCCTGGCTCCTAGAGCTCCCCTAGTCTGGGGCCCACCTCCCGTGGCAGGCGGACAGGCGATGGGTGGGGGAGGCAGGATGACCGAACACGGCATGTGGCCCCGCACAGAGTCCAGCACAGTGTCCGGCACAGGATGGCACTGGGTGACCAAGCCAGAGGTGAGCGCAGTGATGGTGGTGATGATGGTGATGGTGGCGAGGGCGGCCGTACTAGGGGTCCCCAGGCTACCCACACTCAAAGTCCCGCTCGCTGTAGCTGCGGCTGGGCTTCTCGGGGTCCCAGGCTGGGGGCTTGCTGATGAGGTCCCCAAACCTGCTCACAGCCAAGGTCTTGCCCAAGTCATCGTCCTCCTCCTCCACGTCTGGACTTAGAGGGGGCTCCTCCAAGGGCACCCGGACCTGCAGGCCCAGACAGCCTCTGCTAAGGACCCCTAACCCATGAAGGCCCCACACCCACGCCGACTCCAAGCCCTAGCTGGGGGAGCTCAGCAGGCTCCCGCACCATCGGGCCCCCCTCCCCTTGAGCCCAGGCCTGTGTCAGCGTCTCACAAACCACCCTCTCCGGGCTCCCAAAGCTTGAGGAGAGAGAAGGCTACGGATTTGGAAAACACCAAAAGCCCCCTCTTTCTCCATAACCCCAGCCCAGCTCAATCATGGATCTGGGGGTTCCTGGGTTCGGCCAGAGGGCACCTCTGCCCACCCTAAGGTTCCTCCCCTCTCCTCCCCCATCTCTCCCCCGCCCCCGCACGCGCCGGTCACCTGGGGTAGGGGGGAGGCGCCCCCGGGCGGCGGGATCACTCCGTTGGCCATGGCTGGGGAGGTGGCTGGGGACGCTCTCGCTCACTAAGGAACCTGAGCCCCGGGTGAGAAGGAGGGACCACTGAGGGGGCCTAGCGGGGAGCCCTGGGGAAGGAGGGAGGGGTCAGGATCCTCGCGCTGGCGTCCCCCACCCGGGAGCCGGATCCCCGCACCCGGCCCAAGCGCCCAGCCGAGGCCCAGCCACGCCCGGGACAGCCCGGGGCCCCCGCCCTGCCCGGCGCGCCCCGCCCCGCGGTACCTCGGGGCTCCGGAGCCTGCGAGGCCCAGGCGGGCCGCCGCGCCCCATGTCCCCCGCGCTCGCTCGGGAGCGCAGCCGCGGCTCCCGTCCGGCCTCTCGCGGCGCAGAGCCGGGCTGGCCGGGCAGACGCAGGCGCCGGAGCCCGCAGCCCGCGGCTCCACCTCCTCGCGCTCGGCACCGCACCTCCGCCGCCGCCGCCGCCGCCGCCGGGCCGCACAATGGGAGCGGGCGGGCCGTGACTCACCCCGCCCCGGCCGGCGCGGCCCCCACGCGCGAGCCCCGTAGCACCCCACCTGCCCGCGCGCCACTTCTCCAGGCGCCCCACGCATGGCTGGGGGCGGGGGCGCGGCCCGAAATTCCCACAATACCCAGATTCACTCCCCCACCTGCTTATTTAGCCTCTTCTCCCTTTCCCTCCAGAGCCCTGGGAACCACCCCCTCGGCAGACACAAGCCCCTCCAGTCTTGGGAACGGAGCTCACGGACCCACTGGAAGCACCCACCATCTCCCCTTTCAGCTCCAGTACAGCCTATGCCCCTCAAAGCCCTGGCCTCTGTCACCGGGCACCACCCAACCAAGTATGACCTTGACACTATTTCCCCTCCTCCGGCCTCAGCGTCCCCAGCTGCAATAGGGCTGTTCCAAAGTTCTATCCAACTCTAAGATTCTGTGACTCCATTTTCACATTTCCTCTCCCTCCTCCCCCATCCCTGAAGTCACATCTCATTTTCCAAGGGCAAAAGTCTTTGGAAGGAGCCGCTGGACCCCAATAGGCCCCAATCCTGAGATCAGTCAAACTGGACTTATACACAGTACCATGGCTATAACAGCCCTGTGACCTTGGCACTTTACCCTGTCTGACCCTTGGCCTCATCTAGATCCCAGCTCAACCCAAGGGAAGATTTTCTGTGTGCACAGCCTTCCAAGGGGAAGGGAGCTAGGAATCTGTTGGCCACCCACATTTTGTTGTGTGCTCACAGCCCTCTGCCAGGTAGCTGCCTCGTCTCTGGCATAAAAGTAGCTGTTAGGATTCCCATTCAGTCGGTAGAGGACAGCGGAAACTCAGGGAGGCTGGTTACCTGCCATGGTCACAGCTGGGAGGCAGGCTGCCAACAGGTCTGGGCATCATTATCTGTGTATTGAAGGTGACTCTCCAAGCCACAGACAAAATTTGTAACTGAAAGAGATGTGCTGTCCTTCTAAGTCTCACAGGGGGGAATTCCCAGGGTGGGAATCAGCTGTGCCCAGGCAGAGCATGTGAAGTATGCCCCAAAACTCAGAATGGGTGACCCAGCTGTTGGGGGTTGAATTGTGTCCCCCAAAATTTATATGTTGGCGTCCTAGCCCCTGGTACATCAGATTGTGCCCTTATTTGGCAGTAACGTTCTTGTAGATGTTAAGATAAGGGTGGGCTCCTCCTCCATTACGACTGGGTGTTCCTATGAAAAGGGGAAATTGGCCAGGCACAGTGGCTCACACCTGTAATCCCAGCACTTTGCAAGGCCGAGGTGGGTGGATCACTTGAGATCAGGAGTTTGAAACCAGCCTGGCCAACATAGTGAAACCCTGTCTCTACTAAAAATACAAAATTAACTGGATGTGGTGGCGTGCACCTGTAATCCCAGCTACTCGGGAGCTGAGGCAGGAGAATCACCTACCCAGGAGGTGGAGGTTGCAGTGAGCAGGGATCATGCCACTGCACTCCAGCCTGGGCGACAGAGTGAGACTCAATCTCAAATATATACATATATGTGTGTGTGTGTACATATAATAAAAATAAAATGGAAAATTTGGACACAGAGGCACATTCAGGGAGAACACCTTGTGAAGACTGGAGTTCTGCTTCCACAAGCCAAGCAACCTCCAAAGCTGGGAGAGAGGCCTGGAGCAGATCCTTCCCTAGTGCCTTCAGAAGGAGCCTGGCCCTATTGACACCTCGATGTCTGGCTTCTAGCTTCCAGATCTGTGAGACAGTCGGTTTCCATTGTTTAAGCCACTCGGTTGACAGTACTGTGGTACAGTAGTCCTAGCAAACTAGGGCTATCCCGATTCTTTATTTCTTTGAGCCAGGCAACGTGGTTCCAAGTCTCTAGCTTGAGTTTTGATTTGGTAGGGCCTTCATGTCCTTAGAGATACGAAAGAGCCTTGAAACCTTTCCTGGTCAGCATTTCACGAGGGCTCTGGTCTTCAGTCTACCTTGGCATCGTGTTCCCAGCCCTGCTCCTCTAGCCTGTAAAGTCAGACATCAGTTACTTTAATGCTGAGACAGCCGAGGAGAGTCTTGTCAACCAGGGACCCCTGCGGTACCAGGCCATGTATATCCTGCACACCAAGATCCCATAGGGTATCACAGGACTTGTACCTC